ATATTTAAGAAAAATATGTTATGTTTATGTATTAAATATATTTATTTATATTATAAAATATAAGAATATGAATATATAAATGTATAAACATGTAAATATTAAAAAAATATACACTGTATGTGTGTGTACACACACAGTAGGCCTACACATACATATATAATGTAAAAAACACACGTTTATTTTTGGATGCGATTAATCGGGATTAATCATTTGACAGCACTAATATATATATATATATATATATATATATAGATAGATATGAAAGCAGCACATAAGTGGCACTGTTACTCACCAGGTCCTCTAAATATGGACATATCGTCACCGGATCCCTCCTCAGGAGCCGGCAGGACCACATTCCTCCTCGCCCTCTATTGAGATCCAATCACATGACACGACTATTAATGACGCTTCAATCACTTACATCAAATAATTCAGTCAGATATGACGAGTCTGTCATTATTTATTCACCCTCAGGTGCTGTTTGTCTCTTTGTATGGATTCAGCAGACTTTAAACGATTCAGATATTCAGCTTATGTTCTGCAAAATACAGGTTTGGAACGACATGAGGGTGAGTAAATGATGATCAGATTTGTATTGTTGGTTGAAGAATCGCACTAAGAGTAACTACTATTTTAAGCTCAAATGAAAATGTCCGTTGTTTATGGGTTTAGTTTCTTGTGTGTGTGCGCTGCAGTGATGGTGAGGTCTTCACCTGGATCTGTGGCTCTGGTGTGACCTGCTCACCTGGAACACATTCACCTGATGACACAAAGAATAATCACATCGGGTCTGAATAAAAGATGTGTTTGGCATTGGTTTGTGCCCTGAGGATACCTTTGTTCTTTTTGATAATTATAGTGTCTTCACTCATTCCCTGCTCAGCCACCAGAGTCTTGAAGTCTTCGATGAGAGTGGGCCGCAGCTGCATAGTACGTCCTACAGGGTGAGAATAACGGTTCCTCAATGCTCACAAATACAAACCCTGATAACCACATGATCTAGGAACATTTCCCATTAAGTTATAAAAACGTTATTGCTGAATGTTCTCTGAATGGTCAAAATTTGGGGTACAGTGCACTAAGTCATATATACTACACATTTTGGCCGGTGTAGTAGTCATTCTAGAGAAATATCAACTACAGTGGGGCAAATAAGTATTTGATACACTGCTGATTTTT